TATATATATATATATATATATATATATATATATATATATATATATATATATATATATATAAATATATATATGCGTGTGTGTATGTGTATATATATATATGCATAAATATATATATGTATATATATACATATATCTATATCTATATCTATATCTATATATATCTATATCTATCTATCTATCTATCTATCTATCTATCTATATATATATATGTATATATATATATATATATATATATATATATATATATATATATATATATATATATATACATATGTATATATATATATATATTTTTTTTTTCTGTGCATATATATATATATATATATATATATATATATATATATATATATATATATATATATATATATATTTTTTTTTTTTTTTTTTTTTTTTTTTTTTTTCTGTGCATATATATATATATATATATATATATATATATATATATATATATATATATATATATATATATATATATATATATATATATATATATACATATATACACATACACACACGCATATATATTTGTATATATATATATATATATATATATATATATATATATATATATATACATATATACACATACACACACGCATATATATTTGTATATATATATATATATATATATATATATATATATATATATATATATATATATATATATATATATATATATATATATATATATATATATATATATATATATATATATATGCGAGTATATATGTATGTACACACACACATACATGTGGTGTTATCCTTTAACAAGTGAAACTGTGAAACCAGCGAAGGTAACCCAGGAGAGTCTCCCCCAGACGCACACCTCACAGCGCCCAACTCTGTCCATTTGTTTGTACGCGGTTTCGAATCTGATGTCTTATCAGGCGACCTTGACACGAGTAATAAATTCTGACCTGACTCAGGATAATGTGAAAAAGTCTACTGTTCATTGGACAAGGAAATAATCGGTGAAGAAGTGTGTATGGGAAGAAACAAGGAAGAGACGAGAAAGATACGAGGGCCAGGCTGAGCGACAACATGTGTGGTGAAAAGTCGTCAGACCCGAACAGTTCTTAAACAGATCTCCCGAGTTCTAACTTAGAGCATTCTAGAACCCAAGATGATGGCAATGTTGAGGAAGTCAATAAATAATGAAGTGAAAACAATCTTTCAGTTTTCCTCTTGATAATAATTAATAAGTATTGGAGACCTGACACTCCTTAAATGTCAGTGGTGGCACTTTACCACTTAATTGTGAAGTGTTATACATTAGATAACAGAGTATCGAATCATAAAATGATCTACTTGTATCCATTTCGGTTAATTATTCGTTTGAAAAGGAATTCGTGACGAGTTCGAAACGTTATAATTCTGTTTCTTTTATTATTGTGGATGTTTTACTTTTCGTATTTGTGTCTACGTTACTGTGTTTGTGTTTGTGTTCATATATACTTACAGTACATACATACATACATATATAGCAATAAGTGCTACAAATAAAGGAAAATGAAACCGCAAAAATCTTATATTTAGTATATTCGATACACCCTGCATCGCGTCAGTAAAACACGTCATTACACTAGAGCAATGTTTTTTACCCTTTTTAGTCACGGATACCTTTCAGAATCTGGCGTAAGATTCCCCCTGAAATAGTCACATAGAGACAACTTTACATGTACTTTATATATTGTCACCTACATATATGAGATACACAAAGTATCATTAAACCTTATCGTAAATAATCTAAAAAAAAAAAAAACGCACTCATTTTTACACAGAAAGTAATGTTATATATTTTTTTAATCTCATCTTGCTAATGGACTCCAGAAATATAGAGATGGTGTTTTTTTTTGTATTTCTATTTTTCATTTTTTTTTAATAATATCGTGAGCGTGTATTGTTAAATCAAAATCCTTTACTTAAAAGACATATATCTCGGTTGTCGTTTATAATGACGTCACCGTTCGTCACAGAGAAGTTGACACTCAAACAACAGGTCAGTGAAGGGAAAAGAGAAAGAAAGAGAGATCCAGTTATTTGCAAATGTCCGCAATAGTTGCTAACACTTTGTCTGCAATCAAGGTGGCTGTATCGTGAGTCATGTAGGATGTGTCGTTGCTGACGGCGTAAGGACAGTGACCGCGGAATGTGTAGATCTGATGAAGCATCATGAAGAGAAAACGGTGAGCAGATGAAGCCATGAGGATGTCCGTCAGCTGGAGGTGCTCGCCCTCTCCCCTGATCAACGTGGTCATGTCGCCGACGTTGGCGAGGCCGTAGTCCCTGAGCACTGGCGGGGGCGTCGCGAAGTAGCGGTGCGGGTCGACGGGCGGCTGCGTCATCTCACGCACCACCTCCTGCTGCAGCGCCAGGCCGGAGCGGATCAGGCCCGCCAGGGAGCCGTGCAAGGCCCTGCAATAGTGCCAGAAGTGGTCGCGCACGCGTGCGGGGGTGACCACGCGGTGCACAGTAGGGCGCACGTGCAGGCCCAGCACCGCCAGCGGGTTCCTGCTCATGTAGCGGCGGACGTCGGTGGCGAGATTGATGCTGAGGCTGAAG